TAATACAGTTGGAGGGAAGCCGTGAAGTATGAGAACCTCGTGCACAGTATACATACATGTACACCGTACGCAGGTATAATGCCGTGCTCGTGAAATGCATTGCTCCATTGTGTCTGGATGAAAAGGAGTGTTTTTCTTCCTAGCTCAGTGCTGCATCTCCCTCACCTGGGATGGAGTGCCCCAAATGAGACAGCGGCCTTGGACATTCTCCCTCCTGACCCCTTTCCGTACGCGGTTCTGTGGTTAAACCCTTGGGTGAAGGTGACTAGTGTCCTCTATACTCTATTTAGGTTTCACAGCCGCCTCAGGTAACAGTCATCAGGTGAGCTGGTTAGGTTTGTTTGTTTTTTTTTTGTCCGTTTGGCACAAGCTCGGGTCATCTGGGGAGAGGGAACCTCGGCCGGCTTGTGGGCCTTCATTATCTGGGATGCATTTTCTTGATTAAAGATGGATGTGGGTCGGCCAGCTCACTGCGGGTGGTGCCGTCCCTGGGCAGGTGGTCCTGTGTGGTGTTCAGAAGCAGGCTGAGCAAACCGGAAAGCAGCGTTCCTTCACGGCCTCTGTGCCAGTTCTGCCTTAAGTTCTTGCCCTGACTTCCCTTGGTGATGTGGGAAGTTTGTAAGTCAAGTAAACCTCAGTAGAAGGCAAACTAGGGCAGCAGGGTTTTCCTCAGTGGCCTGCAGGTTCCAATTAGAAGCAGGCTCTCAGTTAACCACAGGAAGACGCAAGATCTTCTCTGTGTCTCTGTGGGGTGGAGGCCTTTCTCTTCTACCTTGTTCTTCAGGGGGTGGTGTCTGGTCCCCTGGTGTGAGGGGACCAGCTTTTTCATACTTCCTGGTGCGCATGTGGCATTGGACAGGGGATGCGTGAAGAACTGCGAGATGCAGCTCTGAGGTTTGCTAAAGTCTCGGTGTTATCTCTTTCTCACGTTGTATATTTTCACCATTTTACTCTCGTATTAAAAATATATTCACTGCAGAAGAATGAAATTAGAATAACGGGGGAACAATTGTACATCATATGACTTATCAGTGTCTTTGCTTTTATGCATTTCCCATGTACAGTTAGGAAAACATACTCACGCACTGCATGTTTTAAACATTTTTGTTTTCAACAAAACCAGAAACATACTCTGTTGGCTGTTCTGTAACTTTTTCACACTGTAGTTTGTACACTGATTCTGTTTTATAGATTAATGTAATTCCGTGTTGGTAGGCTCAGCTGGGTGATTCTTCTCCACATAGTACCGGCCAGGGCTGTTGTCCTTAGGGAACTCACTTTGGGGAGCTGAGACATCAAGGTGGCTCATTGGCTGTTATCGGGTTTAAAGACTGTCTTGCTCATTTCTTAGCAGGGGCAGGGTTTTATTACCCTAGTCAAATAATTGATTGGTCTGGTTTTCCTGGAACTGGAGAGCTGGTGTTTACCATCTGCTCCTCTCTGTTGCTGGCATTGAGGCAGCAGACAGGTTATTCCTTACCTCACCCCACCCCCACCCTCACCCCCATCCCCCACCCTCCCATTGTGCACATCCTTTCTGCTTTTACCAGGCCCCACAGAGAGAGGGCTGCTCTGGGCTCACTCTGAGGGACACACTCGCCTTGCCTACCCTGTGCAGAGGTTGATCAATGCAGAGAAGCACCTTAGACCAGGAAGCTGCTTTAGACGCCACACCGTGTTCCTCTGCTCTTCTGCAAAAGTGAGCAGAAAGCCTGCTTACATGGGGCAGACCGGGTAGTTGACCGGCTGTGGGGGAAGGCTCTTCTGTGTAGAGCTGTCGCTAACACTGGGAGAAAAAGCCAGGAGACCACAAAAGAGCCAGGAAAATCAACAAAACCTCAACCCCCAAATGGCAGGAACATACAAACATTTCTCCAGAGACAAATGGGTCACTTTCTGTGGCGCCCTGTCTGGAGGGACTGAGGACAGCAGGTGAGGTCCGCAGCCTCCCTTAGCATCACTGGCCTCTCTGTCTGCTCGTGGAGTCTTGAAATCTCATGTGCATTTGCCTTGAGTCAGAAAATTTGCATTTTCACTAACGCTGACCCAGGGAGCACACTTAAGAACTGTTAACCTGGGTCTGGAGAGGCGGCCCAGCGGTTTGCGTAGGGCCTGGGTTTGGTTCCCAGCACTGTGTGGCTCACAACCGTCCTTAACTCCAGTTGCAGGGGACCTGAAGCCGTCTTCTGACCACTGAGGGCTCCGAGCACTCACAAGGACAGCTTTTTCTTGTCCTTCCCTGTGGCTCCTGGGAGGAGACAAGTGTGTAGGCTAAGCTGGTCATGATAGGGATTGCCCTGAGAAGCTAGAGTCCCCCAGGGTTCGTGGCATGACTGCACAGGAGTGTCATCTGTCTGGTGACATAGCACTAAGCCGGTACGGTGCTGATTGAAACTGTCTGATGCACACGGGGCAGGGGCTGTTTTGTCAGAGTCGTGTGTAGCTCAGGACGGCCTAGAATTTGCCATCCTGCCTCGCCGTCCTGAGATCAGGGGTGACAGGCATGACCCGCATGTCCAGGTGTACGGTCATGTTTTAGATTTCACTTTCTAGAAACTATAAACACCCAGAATTTGGAGAACTGTGGTTTACCCCTGGGGGTGAGAAATGAGAGAACCATCTAGGTGCCCGGTGACTTAAGGAAGTTAACCAGACTTAGCGGATTTGACCTTGAGTCTCCATTAAAGGAAGTTTGTGACTATGTAATGATTGTTAATGTTTAAACGCCACAATGGTCCCATTCAGAGGTCTCTGGTTGAACTGTTCACTTCCGTCTTATATCTGTAAAGAAGTAATAGAAGCCATGGTCATACCAGTAAAGCCACGTTTACAGAAAATGCCAGCTATGGGCCGAGGGCTGAGTTTGCTGACCACTGACTCAGACAGCGTGAGACAGACAGGACACACTGATTTTTTTAAACTCAAAAGCGACATGATGGTTGGAGCCTCCAGAGACCTTGGAGCTGCTGTGCAGGCTGTGTTCTCACAGAGGTGTTTGAACCAGCTGCTGTCTGGCTTTGCTGTCCGGGTTTAGGTGGGGCTCATTCTGTGGGTAGGGACAGGGGTGTGTTATTTCTGCTTTGGTAACTTTGTGTCCTAGGCAGGTTTCTGTTGCTGTGAGAACATTATGGTCAAAGCAGCTTGGGGAGGAGAGGGCTGCTTTGACTGGTGGGTTATAGTTCATCAGTGAAGGAGGCCAGGGCGGGGACTGGAAGAGACCCTGTAGGAATGCTGCTCACTGCCTTGCTTCCTGTGACTCGCTCAGTTTGCTTCCTAACAGCCCAGGACCACCTGCCCCGAGGGTGTGGCTCACAGGGAGCTGAGCCCTCCCACCTTAGTTACCACAGAACCTTCTGAAGGAGGTGTCTCTGTCAACCTGTTCCTCTTCCCAGGTGACCACAGCTTGTGTCAAGCTGACAGAAAAGTCACAGGCAAGCATTGCTATCCTGATTCTCCCCATCTGATTGCTCAAATGTATTTGGTTATATGATTAAAAAAAAAATCTGTGCAAAAAATGTAGACCAGGCTTGCCCTGAACTCAGAGATCCACCTGCCTCTGATTAAAGACCTGTGCCGCCACCACCTGGCCTAAAAAAGGAAAAATTTAAAAGTGGTAAATACTTAAAGTGTTTGATGCCAGTGTGTTTGATTGGCCATCCCTTGTTATATGCTTCCTCCCTCCCTCCCTCCCTTCCTCCCTCCCTCCCTCCCTCCCTCTGTCCCTCTCTTCCTTCCCTCCTCTCTCCCTACACCTGGCCAGGTATGTTGCCACACACCTTTAGTCCCATCACTTGGGAGGCAGAGGCAATTGTATCTCTTTGAGTTAGAAGCCAGTCTGGTCTACATAGTGAGTACCAAGACAGCCAGAGCTACATAGAGAGACCCTGTCCAAACAGACAGTCTTTAAATGGAAGTCTTAAAAAAAACAGACAAAATTATGTTTTAAGAAAATACCAACTTTAAGCAGTAAACACAGTAAAGCCGGTGAGTGAATAGCCACAGCTCTGTTCATGGCTCTTTTATTTATGGAGACATTTGTCCAGGTCTGCAGTCCCAGCAGGTGATTTGTCCAGGTCTGCAGTCCCAGCAGGTGGGAGGCTGAGGCTGGAGAGTTCAGAGTTCAATGCCAGCCTGGTCCACACCGTGGAACTGTTCTCCCAATCTCGCTGCCAAAGACTGAGACTTTTTATGTATGCAATGTTCTGTCTGCATGTGCACCTGCAGGCTGGAAGATGGCACCAGATCTCATTATTGATGGTTGTGAGTCACCACGTGGTTGCTGTGGTTGCTGGGAATTGAACTCAGGACCTCTGGAAGAACAGGCAGTGCTCTTAACCGCTGAGCCATCTCTCCAGCCCATTTTTTAAGAACACAAAACAGTTCTAATGCTCGTGGCAGAGAAGCCTGGACACGGAGGTTTGCGGAGTTAAGACAGTTTAGATTTTATAGTCTAAAGTGTGTCAGAGGAAAGAACCCTGCCTGCCTCCCCCATCCAGTGTGGCTGTCACTCGGCGGTTCCCACCCACAAGCACAGTGGTTCCGGAGGTTCGTGTCGGTTCCTGGCTTTGAAGTTGGCATGCCTTCCTGGGTGATGGTCATGCTCTAGGCCACAGGGTGGGTTGTTGTGTGAATATATTCTGCTGCGGCCACACTCACAAGCCACCTGCCCACTGGTGATGTTTATCAGAGGAGGACAGCCAGCAGGACTCTGTACAGGAGGCAGCAGACTTGGGGTCTGTCGCTGGCCGCCCCCTGCCTACCGCCCCTTCTGGATTAGTCACTTTGCGTCACTGTAACCAAAGCTCTGGATGGAAACAATGAATCAATTTAAGGAAAAGTGTATTTTAGCTCCTGGTTTCACCAGGGTTTCAGGCTCTCATGGCTCCCACCCCATCTCAGCCTGACTGCACGCGAAGTATGTTAGTACAGGTTCCTGTGGTCTGCTTTGGGGATGGTAGACTTAGCCTTCAAACTCATGTGTTTTTATTCGGCAGATTCTCAGCCCTGGTTTAAGATGGTGGGATTGGGAAATGGGCGTCGCAGCATGAAGTCTCCGCCCCTTATCCTGGTGGCCCTGGTGGCCTGTGTCATTGTGCTGGGCTTCAACTACTGGATTGCGAGCTCCAGAAGCGTGGAACTCCAGGTATGTTGTTTGTTTAGAGTACGTGCGTGACATTAAATGTTTGAAGTATCCAGGTGACAGCTCCACAGGCTCCCTATTCATTGGTAGCCAATGCCTTGGGTTCCGGTAGCCCACAAAAAAATAGTATTTTAGGTCCCAACGCCCTTCCAAGCCCCGGTCTCACACCCCAGCCCAGTACTGCTTCCTCTGTGACTACCGAGTTACAGTTTACGCCTCATCCCGTGTCCCTGTTGAGCATTTGGGGAGGACTGGGGCGCTGACCTACAGAGATGGGCTGGATACTGCCCATCCTGTCCCTCAGTCCACTGGGGAAACCGAGGGCCCCGTGGACGCTCACTTCATGGCCAGTTCTGGGCGAGGCCTTGCAGTCCTGGTTGTGGTTGTTGTTGGTTTGGTTTTTGTCAGCTTGACACAAGAGTCATCTGGGAAAAGGGAACCATGGTTGAGAAAATGCTTCCATAGATTGGCTTGTAGGCAAGCCTGCAGCATTTTAATTAGCAGTTGGTGTAGGTGAGCCCGTCCCAGTGTGGGGCGGTGCACATGTTGGTAGGAGAGAGGAGTCTCTGGGCAGGCCGACCGTAGATGCTCAGAAAGACGTGGCTGAACAAACGAGAGGAGAAAATCAGTAAGCTGCAGTCCTGTGTCTCGGCGACAGTGCCCGTCTCCGGGTCCCTGCCCCAACTTCCCTCAGTTACCAGGGCATGTCAGCCAAACAAGCCCTTTCTCTCCCAGGTAGCTTTTGGTCCTGGTGTCTATCATAGCAACAGAAACCTACCTAAGGCACATACTAAACAATGACAAAGTGTCTCCCTGACAGACTTGAGCTCCTCTGAGGCCTCCTGCTCCCTGGGCCATCGTAGCTGTTTTTGCTCTGCCCAATTAGTCCTGCAAGGAATATGTTCATCCCTTCCCTAGATGCCTCTGCAAGTGTCTAGTTAAAGTATGTTAGCAAGTCCCCGCCTTGTGTCCCTGATTAAGCTTGCATCCTCCAGCCCGTCCCTTGCGCTGTGCTTCGCTGGGCTGTAAGCTCTGACCCTGTAAGGTCTTTGTGGAGGGAGCTGGCATTATCTCCACCAATGACACGGACCGTGGACCTTCAGGAGTGTGGTCTCCTTGTAGACACGCATTGTGGAGCTGGAAGGCCGGGTCCGCAGGGCAGCCGCAGAGAGAGGAGCTGTGGAGTTGAAGAAGAATGAGTTCCAGGGCGAGCTGCAGAAACAGCGAGAGCAACTCGATCGGATCCAGTCCAGCCACATCTTCCAGATGGAGAACGTCAACAGGTTGCACCAGGGCGAGAAGGCAAGGCCCCCTGTCCCCACTGCCCTCTGCTGAGTGACACTTTTTTACCTGGGAGGGGGAGCGTGCGTGTGCGTGTGTGCGTGTGTGTGCCTGTGTGCTCTCGTGCACGCAGTGGAGTGCAGTCGCCCGCTGCTGGCATTTGCCTGTTTTCTTTTCTGCCAAGTACTGGCCATAGACAGATTTTGTGTGTGTCTTCACAGATCTCGCACACAGATTAGAAGCAGCCTATAAACCAAGGAGGATATAGAGCATACATGTCCAAAGCTAGTCTCCATAAGATCTAAAACAATACCATCGGTCCATACAACAAAAGACCAATGCCCTCAAAGATGTTTTTGAATGGAAAGTATAAATACAAACTTGGAAGAGGAGGAAACAGAAGGCTATACAGGAATAGACTAATGCAAATTAAATATGAAATATACCTTTAGATAAAAACCAAACCAAAATAAAAAAAAGCATCACACAGAGGGAAGTGACCCCGACTTGTGACCTCGCTGCTCGTTATTACACCTCTCACCAGATGGCTGCCTTGCCCGGAGTTTGGTCTTGGGACCCTTAGCACAGGAACCAGCTTACTCAAGAACCCTTCCCAGGGAGCAGGGTGTTGAGCAAGTGCGAGCTGCCAGTTCAGGAGTTCAGCGTGGTCTCAGCCTGGGGGCCCACCCACATTTTATTCATTTAGGGACAGGATCCTTGTATCCAAGGCTACCTGAGAACTCTCTGACCTACTCTCTGTCTCTGCTTCCCAAATGGTGAGGCGACAGGTTGTTAATCTCCCGGGCAAGAATGAGACCACCACCATAATTTTGGAGCCAGATTTGAAGCAAGCTGTATTAAATGATGACCAGGATAATGGGCTCTGGTCAGGGACTCCCAGAGGATAACATTGATCCAGTACTTACAAAGGCAAAGCATATATCATGCTGTATCTTCTGCCTATATGTGGTCGAACTCATCCCATGCAGTTGGGGCAGACAACCTTGTTTACAGAAGTAAAAGCATGTGGCTTGCTATCTTTTTTCCTTATTCAAATTCATTATTTTTTTTTATTAATTGAAAATTTTCTTTTCTTTTACACACCAACCACAGTTTCCCCTCCCTCTTCTCCCGCCCCCCATCATATCTACCCCGTCCCCATCCACTCCTCCTCCATCTGTCTCTGTCTAGAAAGGGGTGAAAGGGGCATGCCTTCCACGGGTGTCAACAAAGCATGGCACATCAATTTGAGGCAGGACCAAGCTCCTTCCCCTGCGTCAAGGCTGGGCGAGGCAACTCAGTGCAGGTGTGGCTTATTATCTAATGTGAATGACCTCTCCTGCATCTCAGGAAGTTATCTGTCCTTGGGCAAGTGGGGCTTACAGGTAAGAGGCATTTCTGTGTTATAGACTTCGTAAGCACAGTCATTTACATTTAAAACTTAAGCTTTTAACTTCAGCCTTCACAGTGTGTGCTCAGGCTACCATGACTGGCACCCAGACATTGTTTGAAGATCATAATAAATTGTAGAACTGGGTTGTGCCTAATGCTTCTTTCTCCCCTGTCTCTGTGAACTTTAGCGGTTAGCCTTCTAGCCTGTACTGCTGAACTTTCTCACAACAACGTCTGTTATGTTCGTTTTTCAGGTATTTCAGGTTCACTGTCGTTCTCATAGTTGGACTTCCCCTGTGGTCCTTGTTGAGTTCAGGCTTAGTTCATTCCTTAACATGACCACACCGATGCTTGCCCAGCCACACCTCAGCAGATGACCCTCCGTGATTTCGATTTCCCTCTCTTGATAGAGCGTTGCAGTGAACAGCTCTGCCCTGCCCCCTGGGCTCTTGGAGTTTTAACGCTTGTAGTGTTTTTTCCCATGTGTAGTCCATTGTCCAGGCCCCATTGTCGAGCTGTGATAGGAATTTAGTACATTCTGCCCACACTCAGGAAAAATGATTGAGTATTAACTATATACGTGTCAAATTTGTTTTGTGAATCCAGTGTTTACTTTATGAAAAACTGGGTGTGTGTGCAAATGTTTACGCTGGTTCCTAAGGTAAACTTTGCCTTGTAAGTTACGGACCAAGGAGCCTGGACGATTCAAGAAGAAATCCAGAAGCTGACTTGCTGGCTTGCATAGGAAACGTATTTGATAGCTTTGTTTTGTTCTGTTTGTGGGAGCCTCTTGCCTGTGTACCACATTCATGCCTGGTCTCTACAGAGGTCAGGAGGCGTCAGCTTTTCTTGCTCTGGAGTTTGGATGGTTGTGAGCCACCGTGTGCCAGCCTCCTGAGTCCTGGTCTGAAAGGCATGCACCACCACCTCCTGGCTTGTTCAACTCTTTTTATGGGACGGAATTCCTAGACATTTAACTTTGGGAGGAGAGGGATACTGGGCTTCAACTTGGAGACTTGTGCAGGCAAAAAAACTTTGTAAAGATCAGTTCTTTACATCCTTCAAGCTGACTGGGTGTAAATGTTGTAGCCAGTGTCTATGTGGTACAGCCCTATCGTTCCATCTGGGGATTCATGTGTTTCTCATGTAAAATACAGAATTTCCCAAAGACTCTTTTATTCTCAAAGATAAAAACACTATTGTTTCAGTCTTCAAAATGGCATACTTGGGATAAAGTCCGTATTTATTCAGAACCACTGGCAACCAGAGTAATCTGCGTCTTGTAAGAAGTTACCAGGTTGGCTCACCCTTCACATCTCAGGCCCGGCCACCAGCCCAGCCTCCACCCATGCTGTTGCTGCTCAGAGCAGGTGACATTTTGAATTCACAGCTTTGCATTTGATTCATGTGAGTGGACATAGCCATACTCGGGTTTCTGTTCCTGCGTCTTGGGTTACGTTGGAGCGGTGGTTAAATCCCTGTGGGAGAGGTTGTGTTTCCTATACCTCTGTTGGCTGGAGTGCCCAAAGCACTTGCGGACTCAGCCGTGTGCTCCATCACTGTATTGGTCACCCGAGAGCTCACTGCAGACCTTGCCTGACTTCCCCACACACCTGCCTGACCTCCTTACGCCCACACCCAGCCAAGAGGAAGGCCCTTCGTCTATATCTGCTAGCCCTGCCATAACCAATGATCACAAAGTGAGTGGCTGAAGCCATATAGAGTTTCCCCTTTCCCATTTCTCGAGGTGTCAATAGGGTCCTGTCCCGGGGCCTCCAGGGACAGCCTTCTCCTGTCCTTGAGCTTCCAGACATCCCTTGTAGACACATTACTCCAGTTTATTCCTTTCCCTTCACGAGGCCTTCTTCCTTCTGCTTTCCATGTCTCTCTGTTGTGAATTCCAGGCAAATGAGATGGGTTTTTTATTAGCCTCGTTAGTTCTGTGTGGATACACTGTGTTACTGTGTTTCTGAATGCCATCATCACTCACCCTGTTCCAAGTGATACAGATTTTTAGATACATGTACCCTGTTCTTACTGTGTCAACAGGGTTATTTCCACAGTACCGATTGTGAGCACACTAGTGAGGCCGGTCACCTCTGCATTTGTGAGCAATATCAAAGGGTGTGATCACAGTCATGTTTTTATCTCCCCAGTAAAACACTGTCCTTCCTTCTGTGTGTACATGTCTCGTTGTGTGTGTGTGTGTGTGTGTGTGTGTGCACTCGCATGCCTGTGAGTTGTGTGTGCACTTGTATTCATGTGGAGAATGCAGGTTAATGTCCTGTCTCCCTCAAAGCATTCTCCACCTTGTGTTTTGAAACAGGGTCTCTCACTGAACTTGGGGCTCTTGAAGTTAGCTAGACTGGCTGGACAGCAGGCCGCACGTGTCCTCTGTTTGTCTCCTAAGAGGTGGGATTATAGGTCTGTGCCACAGAGTGTCTTTTGCATGGGTGCTGGGGACCTGAGCTCAGGTTGTAATGCTTGCATGCTTACCCACAGAGCCATCTCTCAGCCCTTTTTTGTCAGTTTTAGTTTTTTTTTTTAAGATTTATTTGTGTGTGTGTATGTATGTGTGTGTGTGTATATATATGTATATGTATATATATCTGTGTGAGCGTATGTGTACACGTGTGAGTGTATGTGTACATGTGTGTATATGTATATATATGTCTCTGTGTGAGTGTATGTGTACACGTGTGAGTGTATGTGTACGTGTGTATATGTATATATATGTCTCTGTGTGAGTGTATGTGTACACGTGTGAGTGTATGTGTACGTGTGTATATGTATATATATGTCTCTGTGTGAGTGTATGTGTACATGTGTGTATATATGTATATATGTCTCTGTGTGAGCGTATGTGTACACGTGTGAGTGTATGTGTACATGTGTGTATATGTATATATATGTCTCTGTGAGTGTATGTGTACATGTGTGAGTGTATGTGTACGTGTGTATATATGTATATATATGTCTCTGTGTGAGCGTATGTGTACACGTGTGAGTGTATGTGTACACGTGTGAGTGTATGTGTACGTGTGTATATGTATATATATGTCTCTGTGTGAGTGTATGTGTACATGTGTGTATATATGTATATATGTCTCTGTGCGAGCGTATGTGTACACGTGTGAGTGTATGTGTACGTGTGTATATGTATATATATGTCTCTGTGTGAGCGTATGTGTACACGTGTGAGTGTATGTGTACGTGTGTATATGTATATATATCTCTGTGTGAGCGTATGTGTACACGTGTGAGTGTATGTGTACGTGTGTATATGTATATATATATCTGTGTGAGCGTATGTGTACACGTGTGAGTGTATGTGTACGTGTGTATATGTATATATATGTCTCTGTGTGAGCGTATGTGTACACGTGTGAGTGTATGTGTACATGTGTGTATATATGTATATATATGTCTGTGCGAGCGTATGTGTACACGTGTGAGTGTATGTGTATGTGTGTATATGTATATATATGTCTCTGTGTGAGTGTATGTATACACGTGTGAGTGTATGTGTACACGTGTAAGTGTATGTGTACATGTGTGTATATATATATATGTCTCTGTGTGAGCGTATGTGTACACGTGTGAGTGTATGTGTACATGTGTATATGTAT